TTCACTTGCAGCTCCTAGATTACCTAAAATGTCTGTCTGCTTTAATCAAACTAGCAATTTAACAGAAACTATAGTTACCCGGCCAGTATAACATATCTAAGTTAGCATAAATTTAACTTTACATACAATGCTATCAACAAGTGGCTACCGTCGCTACGTGCTAACAAGCTAACGTAACGTAGCCAGCCTGGATACTAAATGCTATGAAAGTTAGTTTATCATTGGGACATTATAGCCGTTGATTTAATGTTATATTATAAACAATCACCACCAATCTTTCTGTTAACTTACCGTAATGTCTTTGTGGTGAACTACGACGTGTCTCTTCAGGTTTGTTGTGTTTTTTTCCAGCTACCATGTGGCCACATTCCTTCCTTTCGACTAAAGTCAAGCATTTGGTTTTGTTCTCCACTTCAATGAAGTGAAAATGTGTCCATATATCACGTCTCCTCTTTCTCCCGAATCCCATGCAAAGCATGTTTTACTTTTAACCTGTCGCCTTGAATCCAGCTCCTGTCTGCTCCATGTAATGTGTAGGCTACTCTGTGTCTGCCGCCCGCTCCAGGGTTGAAAGTGGGTGAGCTAACGAGTAGGAGGCGGAGGAGGAGACAGGATTTGAAAAAAAACATAAAATAATTATATGTAATTTTCGTCTTGTCTTTGTTCGTGAACTAAAATGTCCATAGATTTTAGCCCAGTCTTTATTTACCGAACTGCTTTTTCGTCTCGTCTTTATTAGTGCACGAAAATTATTTCTGATTTACTCCTAGTTATTGTTCATTAGTGGGGATTTTCGTCTCGTCTAGTTTTCGTTTAGTGAAAAATGTGCGTTGACGAAAATATTTTTGTTTAGTTTTCGTTAACGAAATTAACACTACTTGACATAAAAAAATCCCCATCAGCATCCAGCATATGTTCAGTTTCTGATGGAGATGAGAAATCTGCTTCCTGGTCTGTTGAAGGACCAATAGTTTGCATCCAATCTTTTAAATAAACAGTGTTTTGTCTTTTTTGTAATATATAAGAATCATGCTCTAATTTATAGTTACCGATTTGTTGTTTCTATATTTTAATTTGACAAACCGGATCTTCTCGCCGTTCTTTTTCCTATTTGGTACGATTAGCAGATCTTGACCTGGCCGGAACGGAGCGGAGCCTGAACATTTAGAGGATGTTTGGCTCAACCTGTTGCTGTGAAGCAGGATTCTGTTTTGTAGAAATTCTTCTACAGTCAAACTAGTATAATGACAAAATTTAGCATGTAAAACAAATCCACTTTGGGTTCAAATAATCATTTTACTGTAATTGTATTATATTTATTTGACTGTCTAATTTATTCAATCTGTTTGTTTAACTTATGAACTTATTTTTCTGTGACCCATATTGTAAGAACATTCCACAGTGTCTCATCTCTACAGAAAATTGAACATAAACGGTCAG